GCTCAGCGGCAAAAGCGCCTGCCTGGCAAGCGCAAGGTCGTGAGTTCGGTTCCCGGTACCGGAGAAAAACCAAAAAAAAAAAAAAAAAAAAATTAAAAGTCTCAGTTTTAACCCCGAGTACCTCTCCCAAAGTATTTAATATCATCTACTTGTAAGAATGATAGGAGACATAGGAAATCCTGGCTAAGTCACCACGTTAAAAATGTGACGTTCTACATCTCTGGGAGGACGAGTATAATTAAGAATGCTTAAAACTAAAATTATATGGCTCTTCCCACTTGCTTTTGAGGCAAGCACCTGGGGTCATGGAGGTCTTCAGGGTGAGGCTCTGCCCAGGAGGTCCCCTTCAGAACACAGTGGGGGTCTGAGATAGAGTTGGGACCAATTCCCAGCCTACTTTATATTCTCCCTGTTTCACTGCAAGGATGGGAAAAAAACAAACAAACAAACAAAAAAGAATAGGTCCATGTTGTTGGGTCATTCATTGCAAAGGTGAAGTGAATTAATGTACATAAAATGCAGAGTGCAGAGCCTGCCGCTCAGTCAGAGAAGGAGAAATGTTAGCGCTGTCACTGTCATCTCTGTTTGACAATGATTGTTAGAACTATCCTGTCTCTTAAGTCATGGGGGACACACACACACGGAGTCAGGGTGCAGAAAGGCACAGAGGAGAGATCTCTTTTATATTTTTCCACTTGTCAGAACTACAGATAAACTTCAAGGTTCTTGCATGGCATAAGGAACACCAACAGAACTGACAACCCTACAGAACTTCTAAAAGCTTCAGAGACATTATATTTACAGTGTAGGTGTTATAGTGATATAGGAGAAATATAACTCCCAACCTGCTAGATGTCAGACATGTTGAGTTTGTGTCCCTCAAAAGTGAAGAATGAATTCCAAAGAACAACAGTTAAGTGTAGGAAAGACTGAAAGGTAGCTCCTGACAGATAGGAGGGGTCCCGAAAATGGGCTGCCACTGAGGCCCTTTGCCAGGAGTAATTATACAGCAAAGTTAAAATGTGGGTACAATGTGGGTCAAATATAATCAACCTATAGAATTACAGGTTTAGCTTCTTAGCTAGTACTGATCCACTTGGGAAGTGAGTCAAGTAGCAAGGGTACAAGGAAAGAACAAAGTCATATTGGGGAAGAGATGGGTCCAGATGCTCCGGTCATCCACCTGGGTGACTTCTGTCTATCTGAACTTTACTGGACTAGGTGATACCAATCACAGGACAAACTCAAGTTATTGTTTACTCCTCAGGATGGTTTGTAGGCCTGGTCATTGCATCTCTATCTTGAGGCCTGGTCTCCAAAGGATGTGCCACCAGCTACAGTTTTGGTGTGCTCTTGTCTTTTGCACAGACCCTCTCAAAGGCCTGTCCTTGTCTGACTGCCTATTAATTTCTATCTAACCTAGCACCTATAATAATAGGATAAAAGCAAGAGAGAAATCTGGATGGGAGAAGTATATTCAAATATACTTCTCCTTTTGTTAACAGAAGAGAAGAGAATCACCTTCAGGGAAAATGCCTGCCTCTATGCCTTTCTGGTTTTGCAACCCAAAAGCTTTGGGGGAAGGGAGAATAAAACTTAGAGCAGCAATCCCGGAAAGAGAGTCTAAGACAGCTAACTCACCTATGGGGTTTCTACTTTGTTCTGGTTGTGCAAGCAGGGGTATGTCCCCACTAAAAGGCCAAACTGGGATTTCTTCCCCAGTGCATGGGAGACCCACAGGGTGCTGCCCTTGTTTGAGTTTGTGCACTACTGTAGCTGAACAGGGTCCATGGCACCTCTCTCGAGGTAGATTTCTAGATTATAGGACCTGGTTTTACCTTAACAAACACTGACAATAATGGATTGTGGCTTAAAAGATTCCTGTAAAGAAATAGCAGCTTAAAAGAATACAAATAATGAAAGCACAGGTGAACAACAGAAAATGGCAGCAATGACGCCGTTCTCCCATCTAGGAGGACCTCCATTAGGCCTTTAGGGGGAACCATCGCTAGTAAGATCTGAGGAGATCTGATATGGAGACCAAAATTCAGAAAATTACTAGGACTGTCTGACAAACAGACTAATCCAGCATGGCTGACAATGATAAGACTTGCCGAACGCTAAAGTCTGAATGTTTACAGCTCCCCAAAATTTGTATGGCAAAATCCCACTCCCAGGGTGATGGTGTAGGAGGTGGGGTCTTTTAGAGGTGATTATATCATGAGGGTAACCTTATAAAAGAGGCCCCAGAGTCTTCCTGTCCTTTCCACCATGTAACACCTGTAACCCCAGCATGCTGGGAGGCTAAGGCAGGAGGACTGCAAGTTCAAGCCCAGCTTGAGCAACTTAGTGTGACCTTGTCTCAAAATAAAAAATAAAATCAACAAGGGTTGTAAATGCCCTGGGTTCAATCCTTAGTACCAGGGGGAAGAAAAAGCATTCACTGCTCTGAGAATATGAAATCAAGCATTTTCATTTAGTGATCACAAGTATAAAGAATAACTCAACGCACGTAATCTTCTATTATCCCCTTTCTACAAGACACGGCACACTCCCAGTCACCTTATAGAAATGCCGCACCAGGTGGACACTCTCTTCTCTTGCGCCCTGTTAAAAGAAAGAACATGGTCTAATTGAGGCAAGCAGGTGGGGTTTGTTACCAATTCTGCAAAGACAGTACATGTAAAACAGATGTTGGACTAATATCTTTAATATATAAAATGATTCTTAGGGAGGAAGAGCGGGAGGCAGAACTCAAAACGCAAATTGACAAAGGCCAGGTAATTCAATGTGATAACATGGGAAGCCTGTTAATACACAATTAAGTGTGTGTGTGGGGGTGAATAAGTTATGGCCATTATGACTCCACTTTTACAAAATAGAGAATTCTTTTGTAAGTATGTGTATGTGAGAGTATATCTGCACAGACACCCTTAAGCATCCACTATACTTGTTACTTTTTACCTCCTTGTACTTCCTAAATTTTCTTTAAAAACAGAAATAACGGTAGGGGGACAATACAAACTATCAAAACTTAATAAATGTATATTTTAGTGCAGAAATTATAGATAATGTGTATGTTTATATACATATGAAAGTTTCATAATACAAAAGGAAGAATTTAAAAATCTTGGGAGCAAATATAGAACCAAATAATTGTAACAAGCTACTAAAATGCAGAGTAAGTGGACTGACCCTTCAAGTGAGTCTTGGCTGAAAGGAGTTTCCTTCTGAACAAGTGGAATGGAGCAGAGCTCCTACCTGGCCTCCATCCTAATCTCTTCTACTCTCCTGGGCCCACAGGAATGGGGAGAGGGAAAGCCTCACCTCCAGGCAGGCCAGGTGCACGTCCTTTATGATACAGCCAGAGCTGGTCAGGACTTGCTGCTTCAGGAGCAGGCAGCTCAGCTCCAGTGCGGCCAGGCGGATCTTCCCATCTGTGGAACACAGAAGGGTCAGCCTTGCAGCCCCAGGAGCAGTGCCCTGGAACACAGGCTCTGGGCTTCCTGCTGTGAGGCTAGCAGGCCTGACAGCCGACCAGTCAAGGTCTACCCACGGGAAACACAGAGGGAGCCCCATATGCTAACGCCCTTCCCAGTCAATTACAATTCAACATTCCCAACAAAGCTGCTTATACCATATTATGGTTTAGATCAAGGATGTACCCCAAAGGCCTCATGTGCCCACAGATGGGGCTTTTGGAAGGTAATTAAATCATGGGGTGATATGGCTGACTTGCTGCTAGGAGGTAGGGTCTGCTCAGAAGAAGCAGGTCACTGGGGATTGACCTGGAAGGGTCGATCTCCCTTCTCGGCTCTTTCGCTCTGCTTCCTGGCTGCCATGACTTGAGCAGCTTTCCTCCCAGACCCTTCTACTATGCCATTTCTGCCCAGCCAGCTATGGACTGAAACCTCCAAAAACCACAAGCCCAAATAACCTCTCCTCCAGATTGTTAGTGTCAGGTACTGTGTCACTAAGGCATACCAAATAGGTCTCTGAAGTCCCTTTATCAGGAAGAGGGGAGGTGGAAAAGAGCTAAGTGTTGGCTAGAAAGTAGCCTTCTGCGGGCTATTGCTGTTTTTGTCTGGTACTCTTTCCCCATCTCCAGGAATGACACCACTCTTTCCTCTGAAGAACCCCCAGCACCACCCTGGGCCATGTGATTTGGGTGGCACTGGTCCCCCTTCCAGGGAAGGCACATCACCCAGGCTGGGCAGGGTGTTACATTGCTAGGGTGGTAGTGATCAGGTTGGGATAGGTAAGGAGTCAGCCAGGGCCAGTGGAGGTTCAATTCTATGGCTTGCTGGAACTGGGAAATGCTGGGCAAGAGAGTCTGTCCTTGCACTGGGCACAGAGAAAACAGAAACACTGGTGGACCCTGCAAGGCACATGCACTGTAATCCACTACAGCCATCCCCTCACTTGGCCAGTGTTTTCAATCTCCATACAGTATTCTGCAAATAAAGCTTCGGGATCTCCCTTCTAAAGTGTCTACACAGAGCATGCGCAAAGCTCCAGGAGCGAGGGCAGCTGGAGCGGCTGAAGGTTTACCTTGCCAACTCAGAGGGCAGCAGAGTCCAAACACAGTCTTGAAAACATTTGAGCCTCTAGATCTAGCTGTGCCCTAGGCCAGACCCGAGCAGCCTTTATTAGCTTACCAGCCAACACAGCTTTGTTTCTGCTTGGACTGTTTACAGTAGTCTAAGGTGGGTCTCTATTAACTGTAACCAAGTTCTAACACAGTTTGCTATGCTAACCAGCTGTGAGCCAGGCATGGAGGTAGGTTTAAACTCATTGCAATGGGTACCTCTAAAAACTGATACTTAAGAAAGTGAAATGACTTGCCTAGGGCCTCACAACTGGGCAAGTGGCAGACTTCAGGTGCTCTGCTTGCCAAACCTACATCTGCCACCTCTCATAGAAACATCTGCAACTGCTCAAAGAACAGCTGCTCTTATGCAAACCTCCCCATGAGTCTTTAAGCTTATTTCTAGGCAAGTTGTGGCAAGAAAAGAGCCAGGGAGGAGGGAGTCTCCAGACCTCGCCTCTGAGGATGGACACATCAGAGACCGGGATGAGCCACTGGGGGAAACCCCACACAACTCCCTGCTTGCCCTTTGTTCATGTCCCAAAAGTCAGAAACAGATGAGAAGAGAGAATCCATGCTTAAAAATGAAAAGCTCAATGCACACAAAATAGGCCTTCTTAAGCATACAAACCCCAGGAACCAGCCTGGAAAACTGCTGACCAACCTCTACTCAGTGACCTCTTCTGGCCCCATGACTAATAGCCTCTGATCACTGCCGGACCTTGCTGGGTCAGTGTGCCTCAGCAGCAGTCTTACTCCTGCCTGCCCCTGTGCCAATCCCCTTTTCTGGCCCAGTTAGCCAAGTCTGCTTTGTATTACATTGTCCCCTTCAAGGACTCCTGTTGCTGCCTGAAGGGAGTGGAGTGTGGTCTTCCACCCCAAACCCTGCTACCTCTACAAGTTCCTGCCAATGAGCGGACTCCTTTTCCCATTGGCTCACCCAGAGAGAAGGGCTGCAGACTCTGCACAGGCAAGAGAGGGGGCTGGGTGTGGAGAAGAGATGGTTTCAGAGGTAGGGTATAGAAAGAGGTGACTCAGATAAAGACATGGTTGTAGTACTGGTGGCCCAGGACATGGAAGGGAGAACAAGTGAGATTTGCCTAGATTCTTAGAAGAGCTAGGTCCAGAACCCTAGGGTGGTGGTACCATCCGGGGACCCAGTCTCTCTGACACCACAGCCCTGTGACAGACAACACCCCCAGGCTAGTACCTGGCTGAGCAGCATTGTTCATGATCCTGATGAGCCTTTCAGCCAGCAGATGATTGTAGGTGGTCTTCTCGGCCACATTTGGCACTGGCAGCTGGATTTGCTCTAGTTTTTCAGGATCTATGCCTGGAATGAAAACGGGAAAGATGTGAGCACCAGTGCCTCACTGGGATACCTGGCCCCCTCCCTGAAAGGCCTGCAGAAAAGATTTCCTCAGCACTCCACAGTCTGTCTTTGTGACTTCTTCAGCCCTGGCTGCTGCCTGCACTGTAACATATGTCCAAGTTTTCTGTATACCAAACTCCTATAAAACATACATTTTTTTATTACTACTTATAAATGGGAAATCATCCCTGATGCAATAAATGAAAGTAATTATAAAAAAATTTGAACAATGATTTTATACTCCAGTCAGTGATGACTCTATTCTCTGTGGTCCAAGGGATGCTCTATCTTGGTTAAAAAGAGACTGGCAGGCACTTATCACTGTTGAGGACAGCCTAGCATCAAATGGTAACATCGTTCTGGACCAGTGGTGAACCTATGACACATGTGTTATTGTGTTTTTCTTTGAAAGCAAAAAATTTTTAGTGTATGAGTTGTTTTTTCTAAACTGAAACCTTATTATTTAGGCTTACTTGCAGTGTTGGCACTTTGTGATAAATGAGTGAGTTTTGGGTTGCAGTTTGGCACTTGGTCTCTAAAATGTTCGCCATCATGGTGGTAGACATAAGAGGAAATGGAAAAAGAAGTACATTTCAGTGCCAGGGGTCTGTATGCCACCTGAGGCCATTATCTGTGTTAGGCACACTCACACTTGGAAAAAGGCCTAGAGAAAGACTAGACATACAAGACCCCACCCAAACCCTCAAACTCATAACACCAAAGTCAAAGAGCTGAGCTGCACCCTCAAAACACACTCAAGGGAGACAGGTATGGTGGCACATGCTTGTAATCCCAGCACTCGGGAGGCTGAGGCAGGAGAGTTGGAGAACAGCCTGGGCTACATAGTGAGTTCAAGGCCAGCCTGAACTACATAGGCTTTGTCTCAAAACAAACAAACAAATAAACAAACAAAAACACACACTCTCAAGGGCACGAGGTTCCCAGCTGGGTGGGGCAGACATCACTCTGCCCCCGCCCAGGGTGGCATGAGCAGAAAGGGACCAAGCTACACCTCAAGTACAGACAGGTGTATACACAATGAAACCAGGAAAACAGATCTATTACCAAGGGATCATTTTTCCTGCATTGAAAATTCAACAGTCTCTCCTGTGAAAACTCAAAGCATTTAAAAGACAAAAGATGAGACAGGGCTGTCGGAGGTAAGGATGGAGGGGGCAAGTCTATACCTGTGAACCATGTCCCTACTTTTCATAGGGAAGAAGCTGGGAGCAGGGGCAACAGGAAGACTGGTCAGGGCTACCAGAAGAGTCCAAGCTGGGGACAGGAGTATTCCAACTCCTATCCTCCCGTATAACACGGCTCTTGAGAAATTCACTAGTAGAAATAAACATTTCACTTGATCCGAGCTCAGAGACCCGAGTGGATTGTTTGTGCCTAAAATACATCTTTTCCTGTTATTCTACAAAAGGGGGGATGGTGGCACTTCTCAGAACTCTTGAAATACGGCCCCCTTGAGTACCAGATAACACTTCATTTAGAAAGTTGACAAAACGGCCCGAAGAGCAGTGGAGAGCTGACTGTCCGGGTTCTAAGTACCTCCTACACATGCACCCACGTAAGAAGCCGTAACAATATATCTTGCTTTACTGAATCTCTTCCAGCTCTGAGCAAGAGGCCCACTCGTATTGAGATGACACAGGTGAGGGAGGACTGTGTTGCTTGGACTCTCTCACACTCCCCATGCCCCAAGTGTGGCTTTGTCAAACGATTTGAATGCAGTCAAGGGCGGGTCACGGGACACCAAAGCACTTCAGTTCTGGCTGTTGAGTCTGAACCCAGCCCCTTCCTTTAGTGAGGAAATTAAGACATGGAGTGGTTATGCACTTCCTTAGAGTCACAAAGCAAATCAGAGGCACAGCTCAGACCACTTTAGATGACTCCAAGTGTGGATGGGCCGACATGGGAAGAACGGGGGCACTACTCCTGCAGTGCGCTTGCTGAGTGAGCTTGCTGTGAAAGCTATGCCCACGGCCTTCTCTGTGCCGCAGGCTCACTGTCTCAGGGAAGAGGCCCCGTGCAAGGTCTGGGGGTTTTGTCTTGATACCTAACCCATTTGAACCTCAGTCTCCTCACTTGTGAGATGGCAGTAACTGTGTTAACCACCCATCTTGGGATAGCTGTCACTAAGTGAGGAAAAGCACGCAGCCACACTTCAGTAAATGCTGCCGCTCACTGGTATGCAAGGGTGGGAACTTTTAGTTTGAGGGTATTAATGTGCTTCTATATGCTACATGTAACAAAAGCAAAGAGGTAGCAAAAAAAAGAAAAACCCTAACAAAAGCTAAACTCAAGCCATGAAAGGTGGTTCAAAGGCCTGCTGGGCTGCCTGTGGGCATTCTCGGGGCACAGTGTGCTCAGGTGGAGTCTGAAGGATGAAGAGGAGCTGCCTTGGCTGGACAAGGTGAGTCAGTCCTTGCCAGGCCCAGGGAGGACGTCAAGGACTGAAGCAGAGTTTGGGTATGGTTCAACAAGAGGCTGGGGCAAAATGAAGAGCCGGATGGTGGCAGAAAGGGACAGGCAAAGCTTAGGTACCCAGACTTCCAGAGGAAGACTGACGGGGTGGCATCTGTTACTGAGGGTTAGGATTGTGCTCTGGCTGACTGTTCCCCACACTGCTCAAGGGGTTCTCCACGCTTCCAGACGTTCCTATCCACCAGCCCCAGGGACACCAAGGCAAGGTATGTGCCACACGACATATGCAAAACTGTAAAAATCCCTCTGAATGTTTCTGTTCTTCCTCTAAACTTTCTTCCATGCCAGATGCCTCCTTCCCTCCCTCCAGTTTCTCTCTAAAGTCCCCTCTGTTACTCTGAATTATTTTACCCTTGCTCTCAATTTTCAAGGTCTGTATAGCAACTCAAAAGCTCCAGAAGAGTCTCTGGTCCAGCCACCTTCAAAAGCAGCCAATGGCCCTTGACTACCACATGTGTTTCAAGTGGACTTCTTCATTTATCAAAGTACTGAATGAAAACAAACAACAAAAATACATGTCTTCTTGGGTACAGATGGGGTACATGAGGGAGGGAGGGAGGATTCTGTTACCAAGACAAGCTTGGGGGAGAAGTTAGAGGTTGGGGTGTAGTTCAGAGGTAGAGCACTTGCCCAGCATGTACAAGGCCCTGTGTTTCATCCCCAGCACCGAAACACACACACACACACACACACACACACACACACACACTCTACATAGCTGGGAACAGTGGCGCACGGCTGTAACTCCAGCATTCTGGGAGTCTGAGGCAAGAGGATTGCAAGTTCAAGCCAATCTGAGAGACTTAGTGAGACCCTGACTCAAATGTAAAAAAAAAAAAATGGGAGCTGGGGATTGCTCTGTGTGAAGGCCCTGGGTTCAATCCTCAGTACTAAAGAAAGAGAAGAAAGGAGGAAGGAGCGAGAAAGGGAGGGGGTGGGTAGAGAAGTAGGGGGGCTTTCCTACACAGAAGAAGCACACAGGACCTGGTATGTATTTGTGTAATGCTGAGTTTAGTCCTTGAGAACTCTTATAAAGTAGGTAACATGAGCTCTGCTTTATAGATAAGAAAACTGAGGTTCAAAGAAGACAAGAAGTTTGCCTGAGGTCATGCAGACAGCAGAGTAGCTTCTGTTCCCCGTCCTTCCCCATCCTCCCTGATGCACTGCACAATTCTTGCTTGTTCATTTTCCCTCTCCACTTGCCCAACCTATGTGTACCATGGTATCTGAAAGTGCTCTTGGCATGAAGTCCATAAACGTTTGCTGAATTAAATTTTTAAGGGAGTTAACTAATTTTGATCAAATTCAGCTTGCTACAAAAAAGGGGGACAGAAGATCAGACAGATTTTAAAAGTAGAGGAAAACATAATCAAGTAAGAGCTACAATACGACAGTGGTACAGAGGACCACATCTATTATCTACATGTAGAGGTTGGAAGGAAACACAACAAAATCATCAGCAGTTGGTCCTTATTAAGTAGTAAGTACAACCCAGGCAAGCGAACGAAATTCTTATTCTCATTTCTGTTTCTTACAACAAGCATTACGTCATCATCACTATTCTTAGAAAGGCATTTAATTTGTGGGAAAATACTTGATTTTTTAAACTACTTTCCTAAAACAAAATAGTGCCAACAGTCCTGAATGAATTAGGCCAACTTCACAGCATGACAGGGGCATGCATGTGACAGGTAAGATGGCACATGTGCCAGGCCACACACACAGAGACACACATGCTGTGGTTTCCAGTCACAGGTAGGTTTTGTGGCAAATCCAATAGTTTTCTTGCTGGTCATCTCTCTCCAACTGAAGCAAACACTGGATAATATATTATCTTTTGGGCTCAACCCTCAAGTGCCTGATGACAAACAAAATTCCAAAGAAATCTAATGTGCCTCACATGGGCCTGCAAAATGCACTAGCCTATGCTGACTTCCAGCATGCCGCGTGCTTCCTTGGTCTTTCCTGCCAGTGGCCTCAGGGGGCCTCAGATCTGAGTCAGCACAGGTGTCCCCTCTCCGCAGGGCTGGGGTGGGAGACTCCTAACTAACTCAAAGAAGCCACAACAGAAGAGGAGGGTTGTGGACCCGCAATGTCAGTAACTCGTCACTAAGCCTCTTCTCCACGTTCTGAATTTTCAGATTCTTCCCCATTAGCAGTGACTCGCAGTCAGGATAGAAGTGAAAAAGACACACCAAACCTATATAAAAGGAACCAGTCAGAGAACCTGAATAAAAAGACCACGATAACACCAGGTAAATAATGTTCAAACATTTTTCTAGTTCTTTTGACCATGCAAGGTCTCCTTGGCCGCAGTCATGAAAGCCTTGCCAGCTCTGGAAGATGACAGACAAACCAACCATTTCGAAAGCCAACCAGATGTTGGGCCAATTTCCAACGTACTCCCCGCTCTGATTATGTGTCAGCCGAGATCCAACATGATGTTTTGTCAGCTCTCAGTATGGCGA